CAGGGCGGGGGGGGGGGGGGGGAAACAAAAAAAGCCACTTGCAGGAACCACGTAAGGTATCCAAGCTGTTTTCTCCCCCTCCCACAGAGGAGTGTTGAGTTGGCACACGCATGACTCAACAGGAATTAACAGCATTATTAACAGGTACTTTCCTTCTCTCTCCTTCAGCTTTTAAGCAGTGTAGAATGCATAAACAGGTATCATAGGGTGGCATCTCTGAATTTTGAACAGGAGAAATGTGTTTGCTTCTGACGTTAACACAAAAATGATCTCGTTAAGTTGCTGCTGTGTATAGCATCTACAGCCGGCATGTCAAAGCCTATCAGCTCCAATTGTGCCTCATAATTCAGCCAAATTCAAGATGACGTTACATGCTACAGCTCAATCTTAATCCATCCCATGCTACTCAGACCTTACAGAGTACTCTTGAACTCAACTGCAGACAGAAAGCATGCAGGTGGAAGCAGGGACAAGGCACGCAGGAAGCACATGGACCCACTGCCCAAGCATGCAGGGATGAAATCAGGAATACCAACACTCAGAGTTGAAACTGGTGAGGAATGTGAAAGGCAACAAGGGCTTCATGGGTACAGCACCAAGAGAAGGAAGACCAGAGGGAGCTCACTGCTGGATAGGGATGGTGAGGAAGTGACCAAAGGCACAGAAATACATGAGGCACTCGTTGCCTTCTTGCCTTAGTCTCCACTGGCAAGATCTCCTCTCGGGTCTCCCACACTCTGAGGATAGATTCTGGGGGAAAGAAATACTGCCAGCAACAGAGGAAGACCAAATTAGGGACAAAATGTACATATAAGTGAGGCAATACATACAGCCAAGATTTAGGAGAGCTGATCAATGCTCGTCTTCAGAAGGTACTCGGTAAGTGGAGCAGCTCTCCGGTGACTGGAGAAAACCAGATGTCACACAGCCTAACCTCAGTCCTTGGGAAAATTACATGGTAGTTTCTCCTGAAAGCCATTTCCAAGCATATGAAGGACAAGAAGGTGACTGGGAAAAGCTGACACGGATTTACCATGGACTGCCTGACCAATTTAATTGCTTTTTGTGTTGAGATGACTGGCTCTGGAGACAAGGGGAGAGCAGTGGATGTTGTTTATCTTGACCATGTAGCTTTCTATGCTGTCTTCCATGGCATCCTTGAAGCTGTACTGGGGAAATACGGAAGGTCTAGACGAGTGGATTACAATGCCAGTGGAAAACACACTGGATCACATGCTGGCCCAAAACGTAGCAACTGACCATTCAAAGTCTAACTGGTGGCCAGTTGTACGTGGTATCCCTCCATGATCGATATCTTTTACTACCTTCATTAATGACCCAGATGATGGGATAAAACAAGTTTTCACCAAATTTTCAGTTACCATCAAGTCCAAAGGAGCAGTTGTCGTGCCAGAGGGCAGGACTGCCATTCAGAGGCATCTTAAGCTGTAGGAATGGTCTGACAAACCTCATTAAGCTCAACAAAGACAAATACAAAATTTCACAGCTGGGTCAGAATAACGCCATGCAGTACTGCAGGCTGACGTGCAGATGGCTGCGTATCAGCTCTCCAAACAAGATTCGAGGTCCTGATGGAAGGACAACAGCACCTTGAATGTAAGTCAGCAACGAGCTCTGGCAATTACAAATGCTGGTGGGCTGTGTTAGCAAGAGCAGAATAAAGGGAAGCGATTTTTTTAGTGCCTGCACTTAAAAACCGCATCTGGAGTACTGTGTCCAATTTTGGGCCCCTAGTTCAAGACCAATAATGGTCAATGGGAGACAGTGTAGTGTCAGGCCACTAAGATGGTGAGGGAAGCTAGCACACACAATAATCAAGGGAAGGGGTGGAAAACTGGGCTTACACAGCCTTGAGAAGAGGACAAATGGGGAAGTGGGCCAAACTGTAATTCTTCTTCTCTTAAAGGCTAGCTATAGAAAATATGGAGTAACTATGTTACTGAAGAGTTTCCAATACTCCTTCTAATCTGACCTATAGTTAAAGTTCAGTAGCATACAGCTGCAAAACAGATGACTACATAAGACGTTCACAGAGTCACTCAAAGTTGGCAGAGGCAGAATTATCATATTAGATAAAACTGTACTCTTGGTTCACATCAATTGAAATAATATCTTTGAATATTCCTTAGCACATTGCACTGTTTCCTCACTGAAGTCGCCTGAAAGTGGATACCCGGGACTATGGCTCCTGCCAGCCTATCTGGCGTTATCAGTTTTGCAATGACAACAAACAGCCACAGGCACAAATGCAGTTGCATGCTTTTACTGACTGCTAAACATTGCATCATATAGCACTGGAATTTTGCCATGATTATCACTTAACCACACTGCCGTCTTATGTCCCTTATATATTTAGGCAACTGCTTTTTTGAAGCATCAGAAAACAGAAATGGAGAGCCGTGCATTTTTGGAAGCTCCTTGGCAGATTTTCAGAGTAGCCTGCTGCAACATTTAGATTTCTAGAAACGTTCAGCTGCTAATCCAAGACAAACCTTTCATTATTCGCCAGTACTCACTCCAAGTAGACCGTGGACATCCCACCAGCATCACTAGGAATGAACTGTCAGTGTGATAATAGACTGAGTACAAATCACTGTGTGGATATGGATATCCTCCACAGCTATGGAGGACAGTTTGAAAGAGGAGAAACTTGAATCACACTCAAAATCTCTATTTATTAGTATGAATTGACTGTCTATCCCTCTTGATGTCAATCCAGAAAACAGGAGGGAAAAAGAGAAACAGGAGGAATGAAGCCAGACTACTGACTCGGCAGGCACATGAAAGACAACTGGAGTAGTTAAACATCCCATTTTATATTTAACCCTCCTGATCTGCAGGAGATCCCCGTTCTTGCACTTGCTCAGAACAACTTTTTCTGAACATTTCTATTCACTGGAAAGAGAGAGGAAAGTAGGTTGTGAGTCTGCCCATGACGTGCATAAACCTGAAGAAAGAAAACTTCTCAGCAGCACACAGCTACACGGTTTGGTTCTTCATGAGACCCCTCGGATTGTTACCTCCCTTCCCCACAGTATTTATTCTTTTTCTTAATCTCGTATCTTAGAATACCCCTTGCAATTGGTAATAAGACTGTTTAAAGTAATCCTTCATTGGCTTATGAAGGAACCCATAATGCAAGTCTCTACAAAGGCTTCTCACTCACAGAAAAGAAAATAACGGCTCCAAATGTACAGTGAAGCTGTGTGTAAAGTTTCCTTTCATCATGAAATTTATTCCTGTGATATGTGGGTTAGTATTTCTGTGGGAACTCAACTGCTCGCACGAAGCAGCAAGCTGTACTTACGAAGGCATTTATTTTTCACTCGTTCCAGCTCGTCCTCTCTTCTTGCAGAGATGGCAAGCAAGGCTCCTATCTTGGAGAGCTGGTAAGCCAGTTCTTCTCCGATTCCACTTGAAGCTCCTGTCACCCAGACAACCTTGCCACGCAGTTCATGTTCTATCAAAAGAATCAAAACAGCAGTTTGCACATTGCCAATGCAAGGATAAACATTGAAGTTGCTGTGAGGGTATAAACTGATACTGTTCTTAAGAAATAGGCTCATTTTGGGGGACTATTACAAAATCCTGACTTGGACACAAATTTTGGACACGTGCAGTTGAGAAATCACTCATAGCTGTTCTGTTGTCACTTGAACTTTGTTCCAGGGCTAATCTGAACAAACACTGGTTATGTACCTGATGGAAGAAATCTGATTGCATTTCTGCGAGCCACACGCACGTAGCATTTCCAATAACCTCATCAAAAAGAGCTTCAGAGGAAAAGGGAGAAGAGAATTCTTGGAAAAGGCAGGCAACAGCTACTACACTGCAAATCCAAACAAAAGCCTAAGCAAACCTTTCCCAGTAATGTTCTACCTCAGAAATGTTTCTAATTGCAGACAGAAGATGATTCTCTGAAATAAGACAGCGAATCCTCACCCAGCAGCTGGGTGCTCACCCACTTCTGGGTTAATTCCTGCATAGGCTGGGGTACAGCACACAGAGCTCCCAAGGCGCACGCTCACGTGTGAATTTCCCGTGCACTCACAGTTCCTGCCCAGACGTGTTTTTTTAACCTGTAGTAAAAATATCAGCACCTTACTCCTCTGCTTCTGTCTGTTCCCCCTTGTTTGCAGTCATCTCCACCCCAGGATACACCTGGGTACTGGGAAAAGGTTTAGCTTTGCAGACATTTCCAAAGTCATCAGATACAACAGATGGATAAAATTCACCCATTTAATTCTAGCACAGGATTTACGGATAAATGATCACCAGTATCAGAGCACTTTCCAGAACGTACCATTGCCGAACACTTGTCTGTGCTCTTCAAGATCAGTGAGAGTATTACTGAAAATCCCACTCGAGTACTCGGAGCCCTCCCTTGTACTTCTCAGGTTTGTGCAGAAGAGCATTCCAACAATGTCTATAGCTAACCAAGAAAGGTTTCGTGGTAGAATTCAAACAGCAGAGCCAAATGCAGTTCCCGAGACTTAAAGCCAGTTCTAATCCAAAAAAAGGCCAAAACAGTATTTCTCAACTCACTGAAATTTACCCACTCATTTAATTTAGCAGATATACCTATTTTTAGCTAAAGCTAGTGGCTGTGACTACTTCGACTTCCTGCTCACTGCAGTAACCAGTTCCTGGTTCTCTCCACACCACACTGTGTTTCAAATTTCTGCTTTCAGGGTCTTAATGATACAAATCCCATGAAGAGATCAGCACCAAAACCTTCCACCCTCCTAACAAAAGCAGAGAGCATCCAGACTATCCCAGTTCAGCCCGTGGGACTGCCAGTGAGTATTATTTCTCTTTTTTTTAGATGACTGTATTTCAAAGAAAAATCCCCCTAACTCCAAGCTTTGGTGGTTTTGGTTTGTTTTTAAAAATGGTAACAACAACAGTCACTTTCCAAAGCAGAGATGTATCCTAAGCTTATGAACTTGGGAGGTGGAAAGAGGTGGTGTTGAAGCTGTAGGAATAACCACTGTATCCATCATCATACCAAGTGGCTGCTGCCTGTAAAGCTTATTCACACTCTTCTCCTACAGCTTTATTCCAATGTTATCCATTCATTGAATCAACCACAAGAAAACCTGTGTAGACAAACACTACATCAACAACAGAACACACAGATTCTCAACCCTGCTTACCACACTCCTCTCCTCTTGCTACTGAAAACAAATCCGCTTCCTCCTACCGCTCAGATTCCCTGTTCCCAACCTGTCTTGGGCAGCTTCACTGCAGCTATTCAGGATCTTGTTCTGTGAACAGAATAATTAACTGAGGTAAGGAAAGTTCTTCACCGAATCCTCAGTGCTGATAATTACCAAGCACTGGGAGTTACCATAATGGAAAACCCAGCTCAAACGCTGTTGTGGAACAAACCACCAGCTCACTCTAGAATAATTGTACTGCTGTTGCTGGAAATTAGTTTAAAAATTAACCATGGCAAAGTAAAAAATAAAAGCAGATCACACTATTACAAACCATTAACTACTGTGTTACAAGGCATAACAAATGAGAGGTTGAAGATAGTAGTGCAAGTAATCCAAGAAGGGCTTCTGTAGCTCCACTTAGGGTTTTTCCCCCCCCAACGTTTTATAGCTGCTATAGTACAAGATTGCCATGCCATTTCATTCACGAAAAAAAATCAGGGTGAGGACATTCAGTGCAGAACATCCTTCCCACAGCCCTAAAGAATCCTACCATTACTCCCAGCTTAAAGAGTAGGCTCCCAGATACAGAGGGTTTCGCAGGTAAAAGGATCCTCTGCTTGGTAACACTGAGCTCCTGCAACGAGCACACTGTTTTGAGTGACTGCTGTTCCGCAGTGAAACTCAACACGCAAGGGAAGCCATCCAGCACCCAGCAACCCTCATCTCCCGACCACACAAATATTTGGAAGATGGGAAACAATCCAGTATCTGGCAACGACAAAACCCAGAAATTTCTTCTCCCTGGAGAAGTGAATCATTGAAACAGGACCAGTCTTACCCATATTAAGGCCTTGCTTCGTAAGTACAGTTTACAGCATAAGAGAAAGAAACACAGGAGATCAGTCTGCATTCTGGTAAGTATTTTATCTCCAAAAACGCTGACATCCATATGTTTGCAGAAGCAATAACACAATATAATGACTGCAAGAGTGACAGCTCTAGTAACAGCTTTAAAGAAAAATCAAGGGGTTTTTTCCATTGGATCCACATTAGAGTGCCTAGGCTCTCCACATTATATGCACAATACAAGGAGGATGAGAAAAAGGAGAACATATTTAAAGAAACATCTTTTCTAGTGTTTGGCCCCTCCTGAACAGTTAAGATCAGCACTGTGGCACCACCATCCCACATGCACACAGCTGAACTACCAGCAAAATGCCACTTAAATGCTACCATTTCAGCTATGTATTTTAGTTAATTACAAGCATTCATACTGGGAAGATTGGCGAGGCAGAGGAGCTCAAGTTGACAAAATTCTGCCTGATGCTTTTTCCATTACATGTTGAAACAACTACATCAGAAAATGACTACATTGCTCTTTCTATGGGAACTCAGAGACCGGTTAAAAGGTTTCCAGGCTTCCAATAAGACTGAAGGCTACATTCAAATAACACTATGTCCACTCAAGAGCTCCTACATCTTGATGTGCATTGCGCATAGATCCCTCAGGACAAAGCTTCAATTCTGTTTGTATTAGTCAAGATTTATCTTGTTTCTCTGCCCTGAGTCTTTCTGTGATCTTTGCAAAGTCCACACACGAAGCTTTTTTGTCATTTTCTTATAGTAATGGAACTGCCTGATGGAGTTACTGTAAAACTTTGAGCTGTATATCTGAAGAGTTACAGAAGACTGCTCACGCAAATTTAAATTTAGTATTTCTTAGAGCTTTATTATTTGTGCATGCTTTTCTGTTCTCCATTATATGGACTAGCCCTTCTGCAGCAAGCTTTGACTGAAAGCAGAAGACAGTTGTCTCAACAAGCCCTTCCTAGTGCCAACCTTCACCCACACCACCACTCCCTAATCAATCGTGGTCTTAAACCCTTACTCTGATGTTCCCCCCAGGCAGACTTTCCTGATCTGCCTTCATTTGATGCAGCCCTATCTCCCTGTCTCACCCCAACAACCAGGTTCATTTCCTGCATGGGACAGCTTACACTGTCCCTTGTCTCATCTTCTTTCAGACCAGCTTCTTCCCCTGACCGGTCGGATGAAAGAAGAGCTCCTGCACCCAGCACAGCTCCCAGCACCCCCAAATCGCCACTGCTGGCTAAGCTGAGGGGGGATATTCAGACATCTATGGCTTTTTTAACCAAAAGCCTCCATTAAGCAAATAAACCCTATGATTTTTAAAGATCTTTGTCCTCAAACAGGCAGAATTACAGTCAGACTGGAAAGTTCAACACAAGAGTTAAAAATCCCTCTCTGAAGGCATTTCATTGAACTTTCGTACCCACAGGTGTCAAAAGCATCACCTTATAGAAAAGTGGTGTAAAACCACCGACAGCAATCGCGTGGTGCCGCTCCCTTATGCCTTCCAGGGTACAACTGTCAGAAGAGGGAATCCGTTTAACCTGAACATTAAGGTTTACTTCATTGTAAACACTTCCAGCACTACCACGAGACCGAGATCTGCTTGAAGGTGTCAGAACGAGCTGAAACAGCAGCGAACAGCCTACGAAGCACCTCATCCCGGCCACACGCAGCGGGATCCTCTCTCCTTATGGACTCTTCCCTCGACGCTTCCCCTGAACCCCGCGCTCCCCAGGCAGCCGCAGTTACTCGCTGCCAGTGTCAGAACCGGACATCTGCAGAAAACCAGTGCCAAACAACTGGTTTGGGGCCAAACAAGCCAGCGCTCGCCACAGACCTGCTGGAGCGATCACGGCAAAGTTGCTTTTGGAGAGCTACTTTATTGGCATGAGAGGGGAACCAAATGCCTTGCTGGAAAAATTATGCTTTTTGGGGTTATTTTTACTGATCTTCAGACAAACCCGCATGGCAACTGCCAAGGGCTGGGTCTGCCAAACAACTGGTTTGGGGCCAAACAAGCCAGCGCTCGCCACAGACCTGCTGGAGCGATCACGGCAAAGTTGCTTTTGGAGAGCTACTTTATTGGCATGAGAGGGGAACCAAATGCCTTGCTGGAAAAATTATGCTTTTTGGGGTTATTTTTACTGATCTTCAGACAAACCCGCATGGCAACTGCCAAGGGCTGGGTCCACCGGGCTGAGGCGACTTCAGCCCCGTCCCTGGGGAACCCCTCTCCCCTCTCACAGGCCGCCACGCTCCTTCCCCTCACGGAGCGCCCCAAACCCGCCCCCAGCGACACCGCGGCCCGCCCGGGACCCC